GCAAATCCCTCTACATCCTAAAGCTGGTAGTGTTCACCTGTAGGCTGAAGGCGTGTTTTGTCAATAAAATCTTCATGTGACCACTATGTTATGATGGAGGGTGATCAGATGGAGTGTCCCCCCACTCCTTATAAGTTACTGAACATTTGCTGTCTTTCCCATACAAATAGGCACTGTTTATAAAAAAAAAAAAAAAAAGCTATTTTCACATCTTGGCTGTCCAATTTTGTGCAAGTTTTAGTTCTCCTCCTCTCAGAATAGTTCCAAAAAGCCCACTCTAGGCTGTGATTAAATGTACCCATGCAGTGGGCTTACCCCCTGTGCTGCATAAGTTAAATGCTCATTTGGCTGGGAGCTAAAGAAATCAATTGAAATAATTACCTCAAGGATTCCTCCTATCTGTGTGATCAGTCCCCTGAAGCTTCACTTTGCTGCCCAGTTGGTCACAACTCTCTGACGTCATCACGTACTTTGCAGGACCAGCAGTCGTGCATTGTACGTGAGGATGGCAAGGGCCCATTCACAACTGGTAGCTACAGACCGCATAGAAAAAAGCATCTGCTGCTGGGGGAGCGATGAATATGTTGAGTATTTGTAAATACTCCTTTCCAGCAAAATGAGTATTTAACCCATGCAGTGCTTGGGACACCATTAAATTTAATAGCAGACCGGAGTGGAGCTTTAAGAACGATGCTGATTTTTCGTTTCTTCAAATCACTAACATTTTAAGGGTTTGTGACAACCAGCTTTTGTTTGTGTCAAACCTGCCTCTCCCCTTATACAATGCAATAGGAAAGCAAAGGCAGCTTAGAAGTGAAATGTGGGCTAGAAGAAGGTGGCCCTGCCCATTGACAAGATCTAATTGTAAAATGAGATGAGAGGCACAAATAGTTTCTGGGCTAGGTAGCAGTTTGTCACTTACAGAAAAGATTTTGCTCTTTGGTAACGATGGCAACTGTTCTTCTTTTATTGCACTGTTATTATTTTATTGTGATGGATCAGCCTACCGAAAACCAACATTTAAAGCGGAACAATACAAATGGTGTTGCTGTATAGAATTATGCACACAATAACAGACAATGAACACTTTTTGAGTTTTTAACAGGGTGGATAAAAATCAATGATTTTTTTACAAAAATCAAAAAAAATCGGATTTTTTTGATTTAAATCAGATTTTTTTTATTTAAATTGGATTTTTTGAATAAAATGCTTTTTGAGGAAAATATATAACCATCCAAAGGTTATTCCATCATGAAATAAAGATTAGTTTTTTAATTATGTAGAATAAGGCTGTATATGTTTAATTTTTTTGGTAAATAAATTCCATGAATCCATTCACCATGTCATGCTCTTCCAGAGGTTTCTGTAAGATTATTGGGCAGTTTCTCTGCCTACAAGATATTATCACAGATGATTGGTTTACTTTTACAGTTCTCAAAACTGAATTTGACTCAGCGGAGATCACATGCCTCTTCTTCACAGCAAAAATGTTATAACATGAACAGAGTTAAGAAAAAGACCTTCATCCTAACTTCTACAAACCTATGAATACAGAATCAACCCCTTCAGTGCTAAGTTTCAAGAAGTTCAGTGAATAGAATAGAAACAATATTTTTCTGATTGTTTGGAGTGGAATAGATCTGCACAAGAAGAAAGTGAAACTAAGTGTGAGTAGGAAGGGGCTGACAGTATAAGTTTCTTCAAATATATATATTTTGTTTAGCCAAATTAGTTAACAAACATGGATGTTTAAGCAAATCACATATGCTGGAATGTTATTGTTTCAGTTGAATAAATCTATTTAAATTGTTATTATTAAGGTAATGATTATTTTTCTCCTTTCTAAGTACAACAGAAAAGTTGTCCAAATATGAATGATTAACCTATTAAACTGGGGATAAAAAAACTAATATGAAAAGTTGTTATTCTAAAAATCTTCATCTACTTGCATATTAAAGTTATACCAGCAAGAATTAGTCTTTATGTAGAAAACTAGGATTTAAATCAAGCCTTACTGACTAGTGATTTAAATCGTGATTTAAATCGTGATTTAAATCAGTTTGATTTAAATCAAATCCACCCTGGTTTTTAATGTAGGGGTTTTTAAATAACCACCCTACAGGTGACTTCAGTAATGGGCCATAGGAGTCCTGAGTCCTGGTTCAGAGACCAGGGTTTCTCGTCATCCACCTAACCACTACAAGACTGGTCTCCAGGCTGCCATCTTGTAAAGGAGATCTAATTGTTTTGAATGAGTATGGTTCGCTCTTGGCTGAACTAGATGGACTTGCGTCTCTTTTCCTTTCAATAGATGTTTATTAGTTTTTTGATATTTTAAGTACAAAGTACAATTTCAACCACTTTCTACTACAAAAACAGAATCGCAACTATTAACAACAGTCAACAGCGGTCCTATACAAATGGAATATATTTGGAGTAGATAATGTTCTAGATAACTTGTCAAAGAAATAGAAACAGAACATACATCTTGTGTCGGTCGATTAATTAGTGCCTAGAAAGGCTGCCTAACTGTAGCTCAACAGCCGACGTCGGTAAAAGGGTTGCATTATGTATGATATGCTAATATGCTACCAAAACAAGGGATACGTAGGACATCTCGAGGTTCATGGGGCATCCCTGTGGAAGAGCCAAAGTACAGAAATCAAAAGAGGAAAGAAAAAGGAAAAATGGAGACAGATTGGGGGGGGGGGGGGCAGGTGGACTTTCAAAACGCTTGAGTTCAGTTTGTAAAGTTTAATGAGGCTATAGTGAGGTGAAGCTATTCACTGAAATCTCGGGGTGGGCGTATTGGATCCATGGAGTCCAAGTTTTAAAGAATCTCTCATGGGTGTCTAAGAGGATACTAGACATTTTTTCGTTTATTAAGAAGTCAAGGCGGCAGTGAACTTCTGGAAAATATAAAAACTGCTGTTTCTAGTCTTTCGCTATGGTTTGTTTGGCCGCCAATAGTATGTGAGTGGCTACTTTGCATTGATGTTTAGACATACCTGGAAGTTTTAGGTGTAAGAGAGTATACCAAGGGTCTCTTGGGAAGGGATAAGTAAGTAATGATTGGAGTGGTTTGAGAACCTTTGACTAAAATCGGGAAAGCATGGGGCATGTCCACCATATGTGTAGAGCATCACCCGATGCGTTACAGCCTCGGAAGCAAATGTTGGGGGCTGATGGGTGAAGAAATGCTAAGCGGGAAGGGACAAGAGACCATCTTGTCACCATTTTGAAAGCTGATTCCATAGTGAGGACATTGCTGGAGCATGAGGTCAGAGTTAACCATACATGACTTGCCTCTCTTTTCAACCTGACTAGCTATGTAATCCAATATCATTCTGCACACGTAACAGTTAGATTCCAATTTTTTTGGATGCACGGCTAATGGTGGCAAATGCAACAGTCCAACCCAAAGAAAAGCCAGAAATCCTTGAGAGGAGATCTGCAATTGAGTATGTCCTCTGCTGCCGGTGTCCACAATGCCACTACCGGTGTATCATCAGGATGCTTCTGTCCTGGAGCTGGTGGCCATATAACGTCACCTTAATGTAGCTTCAACATGACTGCCCACCCCTTCCCTGGTGTCATTTGCATAAAGAAGTGGCCATTGTGTAGCAAAGTATTGCATTTTATACCTTATGAATGATTAATTCATGCTTTTGATGTTGAGGAACACGTCAGGAAGGAAATATGTGGACTGCCAATGGTGGACTGGTCCTTTAAGTCAATTCTAGTTCCCACTTTCATAAGCCATAACTTTTTCAGTTTTGCTGACCCATAGGGGACACTTGTCATGAGAGAATTACAAAGGTTGTCACTTCTGAATTACACACCCAGAGCATATGATTATGAAAAAAGTGCCATAAATCCCAAACTTTTTACTTGTTCCTGGGTCCCTGTGTAAGAAAGCATCACAACCAAATTATCAGACAGCCAGGCAGTTAACATTTTCAGGAAAAGCGGCTAGCAATAACAGCCCATGTATTTCTGTCCTGACGAGTCCTTTATGGGTAAAAGTTGACATTTTAAGACTTGTCTTTTAGGCCTCATGCGCAGCATTTAGGCGCGTTTACAGGCATCAAGCGTTATGGCGTTATTTCATTTCATTCAAGCGTTATTTCATTGGCCAGAATAATAATTTTTTCTGGATATTGAAATGAATTAACGCTCAAGTGCTACACGCACCTAGTGTTAGCGTGAGTTTAGGCGCATTTAGACTCTTTTACACACATCAAGCGTTTTTCTGCAAAAATGTTGCTGTTCCTGGACACACTGGCAGTGTTTTTTTTTTTTTTTTTTTTACAGCTCCTAAAAAGATAACATGGAGCGGTGTTTGGAAGCTGTAAAAAAAAAACAAAAAAACCTGACAGCACTAAATGTGGCTGCAAAAACGCACTGTGTGCATACGAGGTTTTAAAAGCAGCAACTATAATTAAGCTAAAGGATCATTCCACCCACCGAAAATAATAGATGTTTCCAAGATTTCCCCTCATCTCCTGTTTCTGTGACAACTTTAAACATTTTAATTTCTATATTGGTAACAGTAGTCACCAAGATGTAGAATAGACACCGAGAGCAATAAAAACCTAACTTGGTCATGAACTTTTCCCCACTCTATCTTGGCTTTACTTCTTCCACTGTAAGGAGTTTATTTTATCTCTCCAGTATCATGCAGAAAGATCTCTCCAATGGAGCTCCTTTCTTTGTCTGCCCCCTATTATGGAGTCTCACTTCTCTTACAGCAGTAGTAGCCATCTCACACACCTTTTTGCCTTATCTACTTTTTAAAAGCAAAATCCATCATGCCTTATATTGATCAGTAATTGACAGATGTGCTGAGACCAGCAACCACGAGCTGAGTCCAGCAACCATAAATGAAGTTGCTCTTGGCTCCGAGGGTTTACAAACCGTTCTTTGTCTCATACGTACCCTGTGTGAGATATATTACTGGAATCCGGTTACTTTTCTTACCCTTGCTTTTTCCTCCGCAGCATCTAGATGATGAGATCCAGCCGTTCGCTCTGGACCAAAGCTTTGATTACGACTGTGTGGCGCTGACCCCTAAATTTTCCGCAGTGGAGTTGGACTTCTTGAAAGACAGAGGGCATCAAAAGGTGGAAGACAAAGACACAGGGGAGCAAAATCTAACAGCTTCATGACGGACTTCTGTTTCAGAGGGAAAAGCTGGATGTTGTTTTAAAGCTAAAATCCAAGGCAGCTACTGTATATAAGACACACATTAACTCAACTATGTAATCACTAAAACATCATTAAATGTATTTTTTTAAATGCAAGAAGTGCAAGTACCTTATTTGGGCTTAAAATCAGCCTTTCGGCATTCCAGAGCTTAGAGGGGGAAGGGAGAAGCAGCACAAAGAGCCTATTAGGTGTATTGTGGTGCGAGAGTTGACAGAAGGAGAGGGCAGATAGAAAATCACGCTCATTAGTATGCTGACAGACCCAACCAGGATAGGAGCTTTTGGAGGGGACTATGGGCTAGCCTTCTACCCACAAATTATGGACCATGGATTAGCCTTGTGGATTTTGTCTCCTCCTGATCAGAGCATGGAGGAGAGTCAGGTCCTGAAACCCTTTGACTGACTGAGAGTATCTACCAGGATTATGCAGGCAGGAAGTCCCCAGAACAGTATTGCGTCTACGGGAACATTGTGTCGGACAGATCATGCAGACGCACCTTCATCAGCCGGGAATATAGAATTCTTTTTGGGCATAGTTCTTATCTTGCCCTGGCTGGTCCTCGAGAGCTGCATATTACAACATTTGCCCATTTTGCCTGGCTACTGCCAACTTTATATTAACTTTTTATAATATTACATGTTGATAGTAGTGTAGCAATTTTGCACACAGAGATGGACGCGGTCATCCATCTTGCTAAAGACCCTCCATCTTGTATTTCTCTCTCTCTCCTCCAATCCCCCCCTCCCTCTCTGTTGAGTGACATGTGGTCTGTATGATGCTGAGAGATTACAGGCATCAGGCCCCAGCTGATGAGCTTCATGGTTATAAACCCCAATTAGCCTGGCCCCAGTATGTCTGTGAGACGCTTGCTTGGAAAGGATCGTAAAGCCATAAACCAGTCCTTCACTGAGCTTAAAAGACATTCCAGCTAGCTGTAAAACAGACTCACATTTAAAAACCCACTTTTCCATATAATTTTATATCTTAAGGTAGGAAATAATTACATAAACATAAAGCATATATTCGGATAGCTCAGTTCGATACAAGTCGCCTGATATCTTACACCCCCTAGTTGAAGTCTACAGGAGAGCAGAAAGCATATTGTTCCAGCTGAAATAGTGAACTATGCCATGTTTGATATGTAGACGTTCAGCAGATGATTCTGCATATTAATCTACCCGTGGATAGAATGTTACATGTATCTAGGGAAGGTTATTGCCCTGGTATAACTTGTGAGGGATTTGGGTTCTAGCCTGAGTCCCCCGCCTACAACACCCTCCCCAAATGAGGCAATTGGTTCTCTGCTTCAAGGAGACACCCTGCTGAGTTCCTAGAAAAAGGCTGTTATGCTTGGAGCAGAGAGTTAGAGTTAAGTTGAGTTGAAGAAATCTCCCTTTTAACATCGGAACCAACTCAGGAGACGGTACCCTTTGCTCTGAAACTTGATCTGCTTAAACCAAGGCTGATGGCAAGTATCTACCTCTCTAAACTTCTTTCTGTTATCTCTTTTCTGTGTTATTGCCCTCTGTATTATATATATATATATATATATATATATATATATATATATATATATATATATATATACAGTTGCAAGAAAAAGTATGTGAACCCCTTGGGATTACGTGGAGTTTTGCATGAATTGGGCATAAAATGTGCTCTGAACGGCATCTAGGTCACAACAATAGAAGAACACAGTCTGCTGAACATAATACTACACAAACATTAGATGTTGCCATGGTTTAATTGCACATAACATGTAAACATTCATAGTGCAGGGAGGAAAAAGTATGTGAACCTTTGGACTTAATAACTGGTTGACCCTCCTTTGGCAGCAATAACCTCAACCAAACGTTTCCTGTAGTTGCAGATCAGACCTGCACAACGATCTGGAGTAATTCTGGACCACTCCTCTTCATAAAACTGTTTCAGTGTAGCAATATTCTTGGGATGTCTGGTGTGAATCGTTCTCTTAAGGTCATGCCACAGCATTTCAATCGGGTTGAGGTCAGGACTCTGACTGGGCCACTCCAGAAGGCATATTCTGTGCTGTTGCAGCCATTGTTTTGTTGAATTACTTGTATGCTTTGGGTCATTGTCCTGTTGCATCACCCATCCTCTGCAGAGCTTCAGTTGGCAGACAAATGGTCGTACGTTTTCCTGCAAAATGTCTTGATAAACTCTGGAATTGATTTTCCCATCAATGACAACAATCCGTCCAGGCCCTGAGACAGCAAAGCAGCCCCAACCATGATGCTCCCTCCGCCATGTTTTACAGTGGGGATGAGGTTTTGATGTTGGTGTGCTGTGCCTTTTTTTCTCCACACATAGTGTTGTGTGTTCTTCCCAAACAACTCAATCTTGGTTTCATCTGTCCACAGTATATTTTGCCAGTAGTGCTGTGGAACATCCAGGTGCTCTTTTGCAAACTTCAAACGTGCTGCAATATTCTTTTTGGACAGCAATGGCTTCCTCCAAGGTGTCCTCCCATGTACTCCATTCTTGTTTAATGTTTTCCTTATTGTAGATGTGTCAACAAAAATGTTAGCATGTGCCAGAGATTTCTGTAGGTCTTTAGCTGACACTCTGGGATTCTTCTTTACCTCATGCAGCATTCTGCGCTGTGCTCTTGGAGTCATTTTTACAGGACGACCTCGCCTAGGGAGAGTAGCAACAGTGCTAAACTTTCTCCATTTGTAGACATTCTGTCTTACTGTGGACACATGCACATCAAGGCTTTTGGAGATACCTTTGTAACCCTTTCCAGCTTCATGCAAGTCAACAATTCTTGATCGTAGGTTTTCTGAGAGCTCTTTTCTGCGAGGCATGGTTCACATCAGACAGTGCTTCTTGAAACCAGTAAACCCAAAACAGGTGTGTGTTTTTTTAAGGGCAGGACAGCTGTCAGCAACACATCCAATATCATCACACTGATTGGAGTCAAGGTTGGCTCACTCCTGGCTCCAAATAGCTCTGGGAGAAGTCATTAAGCTAGGGCCTCACATACTTTTTCCTCCCTGCACTGTGAATGTTTACATGTTATGTGCAATTAAACCATGGCAACATCTAATGTTTGTGTAGTATTATGTTCAGCAGACTGTGTTCTTCTATTGTTGTGACTTAGATGACGTTCAGAGCACATTTTATGCCCAATTCATGCAAAACTCCACGTAATCCCAAGGGGTTCACATACTTTTTCTTGCAACTGTATATATATATATATATATATATATATATATATATATATATTGGCTACATCCCTGCTCTGACAACTGCCAGTTCTCGCCAGTACTTTCCTCAAGCTCTGACAGCGTAAGGAAAGAGCAGGCGAGAACCTGCAATTGCATTTCCCGGTGATCAGCGTGTCATTTGACACAGCTGATCACGTGGTAAAAGGCCACTGTGATTGGCCTTTTACCACATCACATGATCTGCTGTGGTCCGTAGGACATAGCGATTACGGAGATCACCGGGTGCGTGCCCCTGGGGGCGCACAGGAGAGTGCGTTCTGGATGGACGTCATATAACGCCCACCCAGAACTGGCCGGCCGCAGTGTAGCCGTCATTCGGCTATCTGCGGTCGGCAACTAGTTAAAGGTTGCATTGTCATGTTTTTACTAGTTGCACGTCTTATCTACACTAATATCTCCAAGAGGGTAATGTCCTCCTGGGGGTAAAAATTATGTGTCTGGGTTTTAATAAACAGTCATTCTTTTGGTTTTACCTCCACATCCTACATGGATACGGGCCATACAGCGTGAAAGTGCAGTGGACTACTTATAAGTAAAATCTGGTGGGCTATTAACGCCACAACAGGATGCAGGAAGAAATCCATCATACAAAGGGGAATCCCCTCTTACACAGTTATCTCCAGAACTGGTGTCCACTTTCCAAGATTTCCCCTCATCTCCTGTTTCTGTGACAACTTTAAAAATGTAAATTTCTATACTGGTAACAGTAGTCACCAAGATCTAGAATAGTCACCCAGAGCAATAAAAACCTAACATGGGTATGAACTTTTCCCCACTCTATCTTGGCTTTACTTCCACTGTAAGGATTTTTTTTTATCTCTCCAGTATCATGCAGAAAGATCTCTCCAATGGAGCTCCTTTCTTTGTCTGCCCCCTATTATAGAGTCTCACTTCTCTTGCAGCAGTAGTAGCCATCTCACACACCTTTTTGCCTTATCTACTTTTTAAAAGCAAAATCCATCATACCTTATATTGATCAGTAATTGACAGATGTGCTGAGACCAGCAACCACGAGCAGAGTCCAGCAACCATAAATGAAGTTGCTCTTGGCTCTGAAGGTTTACAAACCATTCTTTGTCTCATACATACTCTGTGTGAGATATAATACTGGAATCCGGTTACTTTTCTTACCCTTGCTTTTTCCTCCGCAGCATCTAGATGATGAGATCCAGCCGTTCGCTCTGGACCAAAGCTTTGATTACGACTGTGTGGCGCTGACCCCGAAATTTTCCGCAGTGGAGTTGAACTTCTTGAAAGACAGAGGGCATCAAAAGGTGGAAGACAAAGACACAGAAGAGCAAAACCTGACAGCTTCATGACGAACTTCTGTTTCGGAGGGAATGTCCTCCTGGGGTACAAATTATGTGTCTGGGTTTTATTAAACAGTTATTCCTTTGGTTTTATCTCAACATCCTGTCTGTGTATGATGCTTGGGGTAAAGGGCTGGTATTAGCTATCAGTCTGGGTTTGGTGAGCAGGAGGCACGGTTTGGCAGAAGCACCCAGTGTGGGGTGCCAAGTGGTCCATCACATGCTGCTTCTCCTTTTATTGCAGTGGTTCTCAACCTGTGGGTCGCGACCCCTTTGGGGGTCGAACGACCCTTTCACAGGGGTCCCCTAAGACCATCAGAAAACACATTTCCGATGTGTAAAGAGCAGCTACTGTGTAGAAAGCAGCTGCTGTGTTGAAAGCAGCAGTATTGGAGGTAAAACGACACTCATGAATTATAATTACTGGGTAAATAATTTTATGGTTGGGGGTCACCACAACATGAGGAACTGTATTAAAGGGTCACAGCATTAGGAAGGTTGAGAACCACTGTTTTATTGCCTAGTCAGGGGGTGGGATGAGACATATCAATAAAAAGGGAAACTGTAGCAGAGTAAGATCAGGTCCCCTCCCCTGCCAGTTAGGACTGTGCTGTGTGGCACAGCTGTGTAAATCTCAGGACTGGATGGAAAGGAAACCATCTACAAAGCACGGTGTAAAAAAATTACATTTTAAAAGTAAAATAGCTGTGTTCACCTTTTTTTTTTTTTTCATCCTTTGTTGCATCTTAGTGCTGCTGCTGCTTCCTGCTTGATTCATATTTGTATTTTTGTTGAGGACTTTACACAGCTAACGTTACCAGCGTTATCAAAACACCCCGTGTGTATGGAACCTAATGAGGAGGGAGCTGGGGCCGGGCCGAGCCACACTCTGTATGTCTTATGGACACATCAAGCGCAGCTCAGGAGCAAGCATGCATGAGTGGCTTGCTATGGGGGCATTTGGCGGGGGGAGGAGCCAGTAGCGCCAACAGGGAACCCAAGAAGAAGAGGATGGGGCTACTCTGTGCAAAACCTTTGCACAGAGCAGGTAATTATAACATGTTTATTTAAAAAAAAAAATGTAAACCTTTACAAATCACTTTAACCACTTCCCGACTGGCCGTTGCATATAAACGGCCGGGACGGTGGTACTGCAGGGTCGGGTGGCCATTTATAAATGGCCTCCCCGCACCCTGCTTGTGCGTGCTCCCTGGGAGCGCGCAGCACCGCGATCCGGTGCCCGCTGTGTCCACCGGACACAGTGAAACACCGATCGTCAGACGGGACTTCTGTACGAGGTCCCGATCATGTGATCACTGATTGGCCAATCAGTGATCACATGCAAAGTAGTAAGCAAGATGTCACTTGTGACATCATCATTGCTTACTACGTGTGAAATCTGTGAATGATCACAGAGGTCACATGGTACAAAGCTATTCACAACAGCCTTGTACCATGTGACAAGCTGTGACCAATCACAACTCACTTAGTACTTCTAAATGAGTGCAAGAATGCAGACAGAGAGAAAGACAAATGATTGCTTTTACATCCTATATGGGTGTAAATGCAATCAGTGTAAAAAAAATAAAAATAAAATATTCATCACCCCCCACAAGTAGTACAGTGTCACCATGGTTACACTGTACTGCTAGGGTGACAGTATGTAAAAAAATAAAAATAAAAAATAATATAAAAATGTAAAAAAAAATGTAAAAATTATAATTTTTGGTTATAAACTAATTTGGATTTTTTGTTTTACTAAAAAGATGACAGAATACATTTTGGCCAAGATTTATGATGAAATTGTATTTATTTGCAAAATTTTATAAAAAAAAAAAAAACCTCTTTTTTTCAAAATTTTTAGACTTTTTCATTTACATAGCAAAAAAAATAAAAATCCCAGTGGTGAATAAATACCACCAAAATAAAGCTTTATCTGTCTCAAAAAAATGGTAAAATATTCATTTGGGTACAGTGTTGCATGACCGCGCAATTGTCATTCAAAGTGTGATAGCGCTGAAAGCTGAAAATTGCCCTGGACAGGAAGGGGGTAAAAGTGTACAGACAGGAAGTGGTTAAACCTCATGCAATATTTAACATGTTTATCATTTCAAAAGTAATTTTTAATTTTTTTTTTTCAAAGCTGCAGCTTTTACTGAAATAATACAGGATAACTACACTTTTTCCTTCTTTGAAGCTGTGCTCCTGTGTTGTCACCCTGTCATTTTGCCATGCAAGGTTCATTGTTGTCACCATCAGAAAATCTTTCTCAGAAGTATAATGCACATAGGTCACTGTGCCTTTCTTTACCTCTAAAGTGCAAAAAGCATCTCCCTTACAAGATACAGGTGAAACTCGAAAAATTTGAATATTGTGCAAAAGTTCATTTATTTCAGTGCAGCAACTTAAAAGGTGAAACTAATATATGAGATAGACTCATTACATGCAAAGCAAGATAGTTCAAGTCGTGATTTGTCATCATTGTGATGATTATGGCTTACAGCTCATGAAAACCCCAAATCCACAATCTCAGAAAATGAGAATATTGTGAAAAGGTGGAATATTCTCGGCTCAAAGTGTCCCACTCTAATCAGCTAATTAAGCCATAACACCTGCAAAGGGTTCCTGAGCCTTTAAATGGTCTCTCAGTCTGGTTCAGTAGGAATCACAATCATGGGAAAGACTGCTGACCTGACAGTTGTGCAGAAAACCATCATTGACACCCTCCATAAGGAGGGAAAGCCTCAAAAGGTAATTGCAAAAGAAGTTGGATGTCCCAAAGTGCTGTATCAATAGCAAGCCACTCATGCATGCTTGATGAGTCCATAAGACATACAGAGTGTGGCTTGGCCCGGCCCCAGCTGCCTCCTCATTAGGCTCCATGCACACGAGGTGATTTGATAACGCTGGTAACGTTAGCTGTGTAAAGTCACATTATAAACATGATTTATTCAGCTTTTTTTTAGCGTTTTTGCATTAGCGGTTTGCTGCGTTTAGCAGTGTTTTCCCGCGTGTTTCTGTGTTTCTGTTTTTTAGTGTTTTTTTTTTTTGTACCAAAAAGCTAAAAAAAACTCCTTTAGAAACTCCACTAGTTCTGGGTTTTTTTCCAGCCAAGAAACGTTCCCAGCCAAAAAACGTTGATTCCAGTCTGTGTGTGCATGGACACACAGGATAACATGCCGGGGATGGACACATAGGATAACATGCCGGAGATGGACACATAGGATAACATGCCGGAGATGGACACATAGGATAACATGCCGGGGATGGACACATAGGATAACATGCCGGGGATGGACACACAGGATAACATGCCGGGGATGGACACATAGGATAACATGCCGGGGATGGACACATAGGATAACATGCCGGGGATGGACACATAGGATAACATGCCGGGGATGGACACATAGGATAACATGCAGGGATGGACACACAGGATAACACGCCGGGGATGGACACACAGGATAACATGCAGGGATGGACACATAGGATAACATGCCGGGGATGGACACATAGGATAACATGTTGGGGATGGACACATAGGATAACATGTTGGGGATGGACACATAGGATAACATGTTGGGGATGGACACATAGGATAACATGCCGGGGATGGACACATAGGATAACATGCCGGGGATGGACACATAGGATAACATGCAGGGGATGGAGACATAGGATAACATGTCAGGGATGGACACATAGGATAACATGTCGGGGATGGACACATAGGATAACACGCCGGGGATGGACACACAGGATAACATGCAGGGGATGGACACACAGGATAACATGCAGGGGATAGACACATAGGATAACATGTCGGGGATGGACACATAGGATAACACGCCGGGGATGGACACATAGGATAACACGCCGGGGATGGACACATAGGATAACACGCCGGGGATGGACACATAGGATAACACGCCGGGGATGGACACACAGGATAACACGCTGGGGATGGACACATAGGATAATATGCCGGGGATGGACACATAGGATAACATGGTGGGGATGGACACATAGGATAACATGCCGGGGATGGACACATAGGATAACACGCCGGGGATGGACACATAGGATAACACGGTGTGTATGGACACATAGGATAACATGGTGTGTATGGACACATAGGATAACATGGTGTGTATGGACACATAGGATAACATGCCGGGGATGGACACATAGGATAACATGGTGTGTATGGACACATAGGATAACATGCCAGGGATGGACACATAGGATAACACGCCAGGGATGGACACATAGGATAACACACCGGGGATGGACACACAGGATAACATGCCGGGGATGGACACACAGGATAACATGCCGGGGATGGACACATAGGATAACATGCCGGGGATGGACACATAGGATAACATGCCGGGGATGGACACATAGGATAACACGCTGGGGATGGACACATAGGATAACACGCCGGGGATGGACACATAGGATAACATGCCGGGGATGGACACACAGGATAACATGCCGGGGATGGACACACAAGATAACATGCCGGGGATGGACACACAGGATAATATGCCGGGGATGGACACATAGGATAACATGCCGGGGATGGACACATAGGATAACACGCTGGGGATGGACACATAGGATAACATGCCGGGGATGGACACATAGGATAACATGGTGTGTATGGACACATAGGATAACATGGTGTGTATGGACACATAGTATAACATGGTGTGTATGGACACATAGGATAACATGCCGTGTATGGACACATAGGATAACATGCCGGGGATGGACACATAGGATAACATGGTGTGTATGGACACATAGGATAACATGCCGGGGATGGACACATAGGATAACATGCCAGGGATGGACACATAGGATAACACGCCGGGGATGGACACATAAGATAACATGCCGGGGATGGACACATAGGATAACACGCCGGGGATGGACACATAGGATAACACGCCGGGGATGGACACACGGGATAACACGCCGGGGATGGACACATGGGATAACACGCCGGGGATGGACACATGGGATAACACGCCGGGGATGGACACATGGGATAACACGCCGGGATGGACACATAGGATAACACGCCGGGGATGGACACACAGGATAACACGCCGGGGATGGACACATGGGATAACACGCCGGGGATGGACACATAGGATAACACGCCGGGGATGGACACACAGGATAACACGCCGGGGATGGACACACAGGATAACATGCTGGGGGTTTACTGGCTGTAGAAAAAAAACACTATCAAAAAATGTAAAACAAAACCCCCCCAAAAACCTAAAGCCGGCTATACATGGGTCAAATTCTGAAATAATTTTCTTTAGAAAATCTTTGCTAAGAATTTTCATTTGAATATCACACCATTATTGGGCCACATCAAGGACCGATTTTTGAGCAACCATCGAATTTGGTAATTGGGCATGTTGGAAATTTTTTGAAAAACGAACAAATTTCTAATCAATGATGGAAGAATCGTGTGAGAAATGTAATTGAAAAAGAAACAAGCATGAGCTGTGACCTGGAAAGAAAATAAAATTCTTGGGCACAAAAAAATTTTTCTGTAGCAACACGAGGTGAAATTTAAGGCTTGGTTGGTTGAATTTCGAAATCAATGGTGGCGCCATCGATTACAAAACGCACAAAATTTCTGATTTTTTTAAAAGGAAATTAGTTCAGAATTCGACCCGTGTATGACCTGCATAAGAGGGAGCCGCCAGCGTGTTTAAATAGGAAACAATATTATACGAAAAAAAACAGACTAAAGCTCCACCTCTGTTCGTAAATATTTATGAATATAGGTGGAGCCTAATGCCGGCAATACATGGGTCGAATTCCAAATTAAATTTCTTTAGAAAATCAGAAACTTTGTGCATTTTGTAATCCCATGGTGCCACCATTGATTTTTGAAATTCGACTAACCTTTTTATTCAAATAATCTTTACAAAATTTTTAACAGAAATAGTTACAAAAAAAAAAAAAAAAGAAAGAAAGAAAGGGGAGCAAAAAAGGGGCAACCAAGCTTTTAATTTCACTTCATATTGCTCCAGAAAATAATTTTTGTGGCCAAGAATTTTCTTTTCTTTCCAGGTCACAGCTCATGCTCATTTCTTTTTTGATTACATTTCTCACACGACCCTCCCATCATTGGAAATTTGTTTGTTTTTCAAAATATTTCCAACATGCCCGATCACCCAAATTCAATGGTCTCTCGAAGATCAGTCGTTGCTGTGGCCCACTAATGGAGCGAAATTCGAATTAAAATTTTTAGAAAAGATTTTCGAAGAAAATTCTTTCGGAATTCAACCCATGCATGGCCGGCTTTAGTCAGGTTTTTTTCCTATAATATTATTTCTCTTTATATTCTGCCCAAGGGCCAGAGCTCCCTACACAGGGGTCTTCTCCAGCAGGACTGGACCCAGGAACTCTGCAGCAGCAGCCTCAGGCCTCACACTACTTAAGGGCTCTCCAACCACCTACTGGGCACACCTCCCTTGGGATTGGTTGGCGTCCCATAAATATTCTGGCTGCATATTCTGTTCTTCCTCCCACTATACAGGCATACTTCAGTTTATGAACGCCTCAGTTAACGTAATTTTCAGGAATAAAAACCCATTGAAAATAATGCCTCGGTTTACGAATTTTTTTCGCAATACGAACGGATTCATTGGTTTTCAATGCATTTACAATTTTTTTTTAATCATGTCTCTGTACAGTACTATGTCTTTAAAGTGCACTTTATAAAGAGTTTTAAACAGGTAAAACTTTTTTTTACTTTTTTCTGACATCCGGAACGGATTAATTGGTTTTCAATACATTTACAAATTTTTTTAATCATATCCCTGTACAGTATTTATGCCTTTAAACTGCACTTTATAAAGAGTTTTGAACAGATAAGATTTTATTTTTTCTGACCTCCAGAACGGATTATTGCTTTTCAATGCATTTACAAATTAATTTTTAATCATGTCCCTGTACAGTATTTATGTCTTTAAAGTTCACTTGATAAAGTGTTTTGAACAGATAAAAGACTTTTTTTAATTTTTTTTTTCTGACCTCCGGAACGGATGAATTGGATTTCAGTGCATTCTTATGGGAAACCGTTTTTCGGTTTACGAATTTTTTGCAATGCGAAAAGTCCTGCAGAACGTAATTAAATTCGGGGTACACCTGTATTCTAGAATCCTCTAGACGACAGGAGGACGCAATCGGAGAAGCAGCCTTTGAGACACTTAGCCGCCCTAAGTAATTAACCCCTGCTCCTCCTGATTACAGAGGAGCCAACTAAATTAACCTGCCAGTCTACACTACAGGATGCAGGATAAAGAATTGTTTCCTGGGAAAGGGGTCTGCCAGTGCGTTCTTAATTAGGTCCAGGGGCGGACTGACCATTTGGAAACTTGGGCACTGCCCGAGGGCCCGGGGTCAGTAGGGGGCCCCATGAGATGCCCCTGGTACCTTTTTCATAGGCTTAGGGTTTGTGCAAGGACACAGGGGCCCCATAATCCCCTATTGCCCGGGGGTCCCATGAGTTGTCAGTCCGCCCTTGATTAGGTCACCCATATTTTGGAGGTCTCACCCGTTAGGTAGGAGGCAAAAGGTAGGGTTAGGATCCATCCTGGCTTCCCTTGGTTCCTGCTTTGCAGCCTTCTTGGGGATCCCATGAGTTGTCAGTCCACCCCTTATTAGGTCACCCATATTTTGGAGGTCTCACCCGTTAGGTAGGAGGCAAAAGGTAGGGTTGGGATCCATCCTGGCTTCCCTTGGTTCCTGCTTTGCAGCCTTCTCGCCCAGGTGGCTTGTCTGAGATCCTTCAAGTAAGTAGTGGGGTTCTTTAACACAAGTCTTATTTACAGATGTCAGGAATAACGACACACCACGCACACGCAGTCTGTGCTTTCAGAAGAATCTGCTAAAGCAGATTAAACGTAATTAGGGAGCCGCAGATTGATAGCGAGATTTACACCGCATCAAGTCCACGTAATGTAATTAGTAGCTGGCGCCTTCTCAGCTTGGGTGATGTTTAGCAGACATCCTCGATTCGAGTTGTCAGGTGTATGTAGAAAATGCTCTGTTTGTGTTGGGTTCACGCTGTTTCACTTGACTCCTTCTCCAACGCGGCGAGTGATTTTGTTTTTCTTTGTGTGCATGGATCTCATAGTGGAAAAGCCAGCGGGAACGCCGTCTGCTGGAGCAAACAGTGGCGTGCACACAGGAGCTGAGTCACAGGCGAGTGAATTGGAAACTGTTGTTGACAGTCAGTTCTATTTAAACTGAATCTCTAAAGCATAGGTGTGGTTCTAGTTTTCGAAATGCATCAACCAAGCTAGCGTTCTCCAAAATACTTAAAATATAGGTGTGCAAGCCAGAGGCGAGCAACCCAGCGGGGCTTGTAGCTGCAATGAGAGAAAGCAGCTGTCAATTCCAGAAAAGAGAAGGAGGCGCCGACTAAGTGCAGTAAATAAGTATGTGCTTTAATGACACAGGTTTTTGAAATGCATCAACCAAGCTAGCGTTCTCCAAAATACTTAAAATATAGGTGTGCAAGCCAGAGGCGAGCAACCCAGCGGGGCTTGTAGCTGCAATGAGAGAATGCAGCTGTCAATTCCAGAAAAGAGAAGAAGGAGGCGCCGACTAAGTGCAGTAAATAAGTATGCGGTTTAATGACACAGGTTTTTCGAAATGCATCAACCAAGCTAGCGTTCTCCAAAATACCTAAAATATAGGTGTGCAAGCCAGAGGCGAGCAACCCAGCGGGGCTTGTAGCTGCAATGAGAGAATGCAGCTGTCAATTCCAGAAAAGAGAAGAAGGAGGCGCCGACTAAGTGCAGTAAATAAGTATGCGGTTTAATGACACAGGTTTTCGAAATGCATCAACCAAGCTAGCGTTCTCCAAAATACTTAAAATATAGGTGTGCAAGCCAGAGGCGAGCAACCCAGCGGGGCTTGTAGCTGCAATGAGAGAATGCAGCTGTCAATTCCAGAAAAGAGAAGAAGGAGGCGCCGACTAAGTGCAGTAAATAAGTATGCGGTTTAATGACACAGGTTTTCGAAATGCATCAACCAAGCTAGTGTTCTCCAAAATACTTAAAATATAGGTATGTTTTTTAAAGGCCCCTGCTATAGAAGAGATTCATACTCAACTAATCCAACCTTCCCACCATTTTGGTCCCCATACTTCCCAACAGTCCCGGATTTGGTAGGACCTTCCTGCAATTTTTGACAAAGTGCAGTAGATAAGTATGCAATTTAATGACACAGGTTTTTGAAATGCATCAACCAAGCTAGTGTTCTCCAAAATGAGTAAAGCTAGTTTTCTCCAAAATACTTAATATATACAGTTGTGACCAAAATTATTCAACCCCCACTGAAATTGAGTGTTTTGGCCAGTTTGACATTGCTTTTGATCATTCAGTCATCTTGCTTACATTTACATTAAAGAGGCACTTGTAGGTCAGACAAATATAACATAACAGTTATAATGAAATAACCACAAATGTCTTTTCTGTGCTCACAGCATTATCAGTTTTATTCAACCCCCAAGTGACATTCAATCTTAGTACTTAGTACAGCATCCTTTTACAGTTATAACAGCTTTTAAACGTGAAGCATAGCTTGACACAAGTGTCTTGCAGCGATCTACGGGTATCTTCGCCATTCTTCATGGGCAAAGGCCTCCAGTTCAGTCACATTCTTAGGCTTGCGCACTGCAACTGCTTTCTTTAAGTCCCACCAGAGGTTCTCAATCGGATTTAAGTCTGGTGACTGCGATGGCCACTCCAAAATGTTCCAGCCTTTCCTCTGCAACCATGCTCTAGTGGACTTGGAGGTATGCTTGGGATCATTGTCCTGTTGAAAGGTCCAACGTCTCCCAAGCCTCAGGTGTGTGACGGACTGCATGCATCACGTTTCCATCCAATATCTCCTGGTACTGAAGAGAATTCATGGTACCTTGCACACGCTGAAGCTTCCCTGTACCTGCAGAAGCAAAACAGCCCCAAAGCATGATTGACCCTCCACCAT